TGATGTCACTCACCTCCATATCAAATTCATTGTCATCATCTTCATCAACATGAATGACGAATTCTTCAACTTGCCTCCAATTTTCTAATCTATCACCTGCGAAATACACATCTACCACCTTTTCATGAGTGTGTTTTATTAGATCTGACCACCTTTGGGGAGTTACTTCATGAAATCCTTCATCTACTAGTTTTTGTAGTGCTGTTAGTGTGAAATCTTTATTGTTACTTTTAGCATAATGTTTGACTTGTGACCATGCCATTTCTATTGGATTTAGTTCACAATGATAAGGAGGTAGTCTTACAACTTCATGTCCTTCTGCTTTAGCCATTTCATCTGTTACATATTTTTTATATTTTTGCTTATGTTTCTTAATGAGAGCATACAGATTTTGCTTGATACATCTGGACGGTAAAGGAATACTATGATTTGTTAGTCAGGTAATCATATCTCCTTTTCTCCAATTGCTAGTGGGCAAAGCTTCGTGCCTTCTGGAATGGTATGATGCATTATCTATCATAATTATTGACTCTGGTGGAATATTCTTCAAAAGTTTATCTTCAAACCACTTTTCAAATATTTGGTGGTTCATTTCTTTGTGGTAGTCTCCCTCTTCTTCTAAAGATTGATATAGTGGGTTTCAGTTGAGTTTGACCACTGACCCACCCTTATAACTTCTCTATTATTTATGCTAGCAACTTGAAACTTGGTATAGTTGCAAAACGGGTTCTTCCGAAAATCTGTACCAATTTTGGAGTCTCTAGGTACTCTGGAAGGTTCTCAAGAGGTTCTTCCGGTCAACATGAAAGGGAGCCGCCATGATGTTTCATGACGTGAAGCTTCGTGAATATCATTTGCATCTTATTAAATATGTCAATAATCATGTTTTTATTGTTTAAAAATCAAATAAAGCAAAAGGAGCACTCCAGGCCAAGATATAATTGAACAAGAAGACTTTGCACTCCAGAAAGAAGTCTCACTCAGTCTGCTGTACCTCTCTAAGCCTTCGTTATTTGTCTTCACCGTTGCCGCTCAGAAAGTCCGTTGAAATTTTGCATCTCTCGATTCTTTCTTCAGGTAATAGCAAGCACAAAGATCCTTCATGTCAATTGCAGGGCTAGCAGTGACCAAAATAGGGTAATAAACAAGTTACAACAAGAAGAAAGGAGCATGATGAAATTTTCAGCCATTTTATTTGCGTGTGGGTGGGGCTACACGTGACGTTTTGATGATGAAAACATCCGGTCAAACTCAACTGAAACCGACTATACACCAATTTGCAGTTTGGAATCCAGCCATCTTCTGAACCAGCATGAAGTATAATTAGCCTCTTTCCTTTGCCACTTGGATGACTTATTCCGCCTAGTGTTCCACCAGTAACTTCGTATTTTTCGACCCAAGAACGAGCAATAGAATCATGCGTATGCATCCACGTTTCATCCAA